CAAGCCAGTTACAAAAAAAAAGTTAATCAAGCTGTATTATTGCCGTATAATCCTAGATCGAGAATGTTATAGCTTTCTTTTATTCGCCGATCCATAAATCAACTTTTTTCTTAGATGAATGAAGTAAATTGCAGAAACCTATGAATCTTCCCAAATCATTTAATAGAAAACAAAGAAAACGACGTAAAATTTTTCACATGCATGTCTAGACGGTAAGTTGGGTGAGGATTCTAACTACTTTGTCGGTCCAAATAAATGATGCATATCTTTATTAAATAATCATATCATATCAATGCAGGTAACAGATTTGAAGTTTATATATTCTACATACAATATAATGAAACCAACCCCTCAAACTTATTGTCAAGACACCAAAAAAAAATGAAGGCACCGTCACAACAGGACATGGCTTACTTCGACCACATCAAGAAACGCCAAGATGATAAAGGCTGTTTGTACGCAACGTATGTACTACTACTATAGTTTCTTCTCCATCTTTTTGCTATTATTTATGTTCTTGTAATTTCTTCTTATGCATTTGGAAGTTCTTTACTAAATCAACACGATATCTGTTGTTGCAGGCTTTACGGGTTGTTCTGTTGCTGTTGCTGCTACGAGACATGTGATTGTTGTTGCTGCGTCTGAGTCTAATGATCATGTCACACTATTTATCTTTATGTGTCCCTTTCGTTCTATCCACATCTTTTTCCTTGTAATCTTCAAGTAGTTGATTTTGGGTTGATTTCGATTTCGGTTGGATAAGTTCGGTTTGGTTTGGTTTGGTTTTACATATATGTAATAAAAATTAAATTAATAGAGATGATAATTAATATTATATATATTTTGCATATTTTATTCTTTTGTGTCTGTAGTTCAGTGAAAATATTTTATTGATGTAAAAGGACGTTCGGGAAGCAAGCAAACAAGAAAGCTTTTCTTTTTATTTTTGCATTCCACAGTAAGTTTTGAGAGCAGATTGAGATCTCTGTCCAGCTTCTGTGTAATAGAACTGGAGAAACTCGACATGATCAAAGGGCTTAAACAGTCGAGGATGCTCTTCGTCCACGAGCTCATCCGGTGAACTCACGATATGTCCTGCTTTAGGAATCGAGAACAGCCCGAGCGAGTATCTAGTCTCTGTTCCGGTCATCATGACACGGTGATAAGGAGAGTGGACTCGACCATTTAGCAAAGCCTGTTTATTAAAAAAAAACATTTACGAGGTTTGTTATTGATGTCAAAGTAAGCTGAAACAAAAGGCTTCTTACATGGAGAGAGTCTCCGATCATGACGATGAAAGAGTCTTGTGAGGGTTTAACTTTGATCCAGTTGTTGTCTTTGGTCTGAACCTCCAGACCTTCAACATGGTTTTGGTAAAGTATAGTGACAATGTTTTTGTCGGTATGAGCGTTTAGCCCTAGTTTGGTCTCTTCTGTATCAGGTCCGGTGTACTTCATAACTCGAAGGAGGTAGTTCGTCGACTGAAGATGTTCATCAATGTATCTCACGAGTCCAAAGCTCTCCATGATCATTCTTCTTATAGTTATGTCTAGCTCTGATAACTTCTTTGAAAATGAATGGACCGTTGCGCTGGTTGTAACGAAAGTTGTGATCAAAAACATGTTCATACTAATTAATGGTAATAATACAGAACATAAGTTTACTGACCTGAAGCTGTTGTTTCCTTGAGGCCATATCTTTTGAGTAAATGCTTCGACTTTTTCTACAACATCAGAATCATCAATGCCCATGCTCTCGTACAGTGGCACCATTGGGTATTGACCAACGTATCCGTGGAAAGGTTTATTGGATACGTTACTCAGTTTGGTCTGTAAAGGTAAGTCGAAAAGCTCTTCTAAGGCCCTGAAAATCGATTTTCGTAGTTCGATAGGGACTTTATCGAAAGAAGCCTCGAAACAGCCATAGTTTTGTAGAGCTTTCTGGACATCAGCTCTGGTTAAGTCCCATTCAGGCTCTCCTGGTTTTAAGTTTTGGTTTGAGAAATCGATGACCGGGAGGTGAAGAGTAGTTTCAGAACCCATTTTCTGAAACAAAGATAGTTGGATATGGGAGTTACTGAAGTGAAATGTGACATTACTTATATAGTATCTTGAATGCAGCCTCATAGAATCTATCTTCTGATTATTCTCTGCACAAGATGTCAAATCTCTCTCTGAATATAAAACTTAAAAATATGGAAGTTATTCAAGTAAAATGTGACAAGCCACATATATATATACTAGGTAGTTTGCCCGCATTTGCGGGCTTAATAATTTTACTATTATCTATAAATAAATATATAATCAATTATGTAAATTATAATAAATTATTATTCATAGACTCAAAATATTTAATCAAAAACTAAACATATTCTTTCTATATATAAAATTTTTCATCATCATAGAAATAATTTTCATTAAACAACTTATATTTGAAAATACTCATAAACTTAAAATATTTAGTAATAAATTAATAGCATTTTTAGACATAACAAAAAATGTATACAAAATTATCTTTAATAATGTTTTGGATAACACAATATAGATTATCTATACATAAATTCTTTGCGAATTGATTTTTCATAATTCACTATATATTAAAAAATGGAATTATTTTTCAACGTTAATAAATACTTTATAACACAATATAAAAAAGTTCGATAAGGATAATTATCAAATTCATGACATTCTTTTTTAATTTAGAATTAATTATATATTAATAAATATTATTATTTTTCAAGATTGATAAAGACTTTATCACATAATATAAAAAATTTAAAATAAGGATAATTATTTGCGAAGTGATAATCTTTAAAAAAAATAGATTAGTATGTTATTATCTTAGATAACTGAGAATAATTAATATAATAAATTTATTAAAAAAAATTTAAAAATAAGAAAAACGAATTTCAATAATTTTAGATTTATCTTTATCTAAAACTTTTTTATATTGGGTTATAAAGTCTATATTAACCTTGAAAAATAATTATATTGGTTAATATATAATTAATTAGAAATTAAAAACGAATTTTATTTATTTGATAATTATCCTTATTTTAATTATATTATTTTATAATTTCGTTTTTAATTATAAAATTAGTTATATATAAAAAATTCATTAAGGGTAAAATGGATATTAACCGCTATAACTTTTAACGTGAGAGCTCCGTTGCGAAAAATCACTTCGCAAATAATAGTATAGATATATATATATATATATATATATATATATTAAATTATATATCTTCTGTTATTTGAACAAAAGAAAGGAATATATCTTATATTGATTCTCTCCACAAGATGTCCAATCACTCTCTGAATATTAAGGATATGGGAGTTACTCAAGTGAGATGTGAGGGCTATGATTAACCAAAAACCCCCTATGGGGGTGCTTAAATTTTTTTTTTATATTGTTTTTTTTTCCGATTTAAAAAAAAATAAAAATAAAAAGGAACTAATTATGGGTTACCACATGTCAATGTGATCCACAAACAATACAAGCAACTGACCAAAATTATTGTTTTTTGGGCATCAGAAGCAGCTGGTTCATTTTTTTTGTGGGACCCAGGGGTTAAGCATCCTTCTAAGCTTCTTGGTTAATGATGCCCTGACATGCCATTTATATATATCCTCTTGAATTCAGCCTCATCAAGGAAGGATTTTTTCCGCAGCAAATATCTCTCTGGATATAAACTTATCGAGAATTCGCCAATAATTTTTGATGAAAACGTTTCGTTGGGAGGTATGTATGTCGGAAAACTTCTGAAGAAATTTCAAAAAACTATCCATTAGATAACCATTGTAATTTCCAACAACTTTTTCTCGATGGTATATTTGGTCGGAAAAGCCTCAGCAGATATTTTCTTATAGATAACACACATTTTCTTATAGTGATAATATATAAACATAATACACAAATATCATAAATATGTCACTAAAGCAATGTTATTTCAATTTTAAAATAAAATATATAAAATACATCAACAATTAAAGAAATATCTCTCTCTTTCATTAGTATATGTATTGAAACTACAATAGTATATAATTATGTAATACATAATATAATTAAAAACACACACGTTGTATAAATATACTAGTTTAAGTAAATAAAGATATATATGATTTAAATAAAAAGAGATAAATAGACAATGATAGTTTTGTATTGTTAAAGTCGTAAGTAAAATAAAATGAAAATATTTTATTTATAAAAACAGATCAATGTGTTTTAAATTAGTTATTTGTAATACAATAATTGCAAAAAAGAAGAAAACGGATGAACAACACTAGATGTATAGCGGATGAGATTTGTACGCAGTCTATCTATAGTTTTAGAAAAAGATAAGAAAATATAGAGCTACATGCAATTCTTCAACTAAATGTATTTTGAAACCATAAAAATATGACTGGTGAATTTAATTCGATAAGAATATATGTGCAAATGGACTACACTTATCTTGCTACACCATTCCGAACCATAGTATCTTGAATTCGGCCTTAAGGATACTATTTTCTGATGATTTTATGCAGAATATGTCAAAATTCAATACGAAAGTTAAAATGAACGGTTTGTTTGGCGTGAAGGCTGTTAGGATATTACAGTTAAAGTTAATGTTAAAGTAATCACACTTCTAAGGCATCTCCAAAAAGCAAATTATAATTTTATATTTGCGGTTCTATACACTTCAAAAGCAAATAGTTGGTGTAATTAGTGGAAGGGCCGGCTAAGATGGGAGACAAACGGTGCGACCATCCTGGGTCCAAGTCTATGTCCCTCCGTATCTTTCTAATTAAGGAGTCCAATATTTTTTTTTTATATTTATGTCTTGTTATATAAAAGTTAAAACATCTATTAAATTTAGTTGAAAAGTGATTCTAAAATATTTTCTGTGTACATAATTTATTTTTACCCCACATTTTGTAAAAATGTCGATGATAAAAAATTCAAATTATATTTAAATTTTCAATAAAAAATAAATAATAAGAACTTAATATTTTTGTGTTGTCCCGAGACTCCAAAAAATATTGAACCGTCCCTGAGTGGAATCAATGTCAATATACAATATAAGTAGAAGTATTTTTTGTGAGAACACAAATTACAATGCAAGTAAGATTTTTGTGTGTTTTTTTAATTTTAAATATATTTTTCCAATTATTATTATTGCAGAATGAGTTCTAATTTGTGTACGAAAACATCGTATTTACAGCTACCTTCCTTAATAAATCTCTGAAGTCATCTTATCATCTTGAGAAAGAATATTATGACCTGAAGTCATTTATTCCAGAGGCAAATGAAGACAAAACATCATTATCGGTTCTGGTACGAACTTTGTTTTATTTTGAAAACACAGGCAGTTGATCTATATCTTTTGTTTTACACAGAATTTTTCTGGGTCATGTATTTTTCTTAGAGAATGTTCTCAAGCTATGACACAACTTTATTCTAGTTGTCATAACAGAGAAGTTTTCCTAGTTCATGAGGCTACACTCTACAGTAAGTCCTGAGACCAGATAGATCTCTCCTTCTGATCCCTCGCGTGTGGACATATTGTATGCTTCAAAATCAAAGGGCTTAAAGCGGTATGTGTACTTAGCATCAACCATCTCCTCAAGTGCAGACATCAAATCCTCTGTTTCCGGCATAGACAAACACAAGCAACATTTGAAAGAGAAAAAAGTTTATGAAGTTTTTAAATTTATGGTCCATTCAAATGACAAGAAATATGTGCTAATCCATATATTATAAATATCCTCCAACCAATCACAATATTCCCAGTAAAGAAAAATATAAGGTTAATATGTGCCTGAAGAAAAGCCATGCATACCTGAAGTGTTTACTTCTTTCTTTCAAACGAAAGAAATTTAAAATTAAACTAGAATAGAATCCGCGCCATGCACAGTTAGATTTCATTTTAATAGTTTAAACATTTTTTTTTGTTTTATAGATTGTTTGAATTCACATGTTCTATCATTTACAGGATTGTAGGTTACCACTACGCTCTGAAAGCCGACTATAAGTCTTTGTATATGAAGTGGCCACCATAAATTCGTATCAACTCTAACTCAAACGAGTTCTCTGAACTACTAACCTTAATCTTAAATTTTCATCGAGTTTAAATGATTTAAGATCTTTTAGAAAAGTAATTTTGTAGAGAATATATTTTGAATCTGTTTTTTTTTTCCAATTTTTAGTTGGATA